TGTTGCAGAGTATTTGCTAATAACTATATTTATTACTTAATTATAGTGATACATATATATTGAATACTTCCACGTGTACAGAATTGCGTATCATCTCGAGATCCATTTTTGAGAGAGTGTAACGATCGTTCAGATGGGTTGATCATCCGTTAAAATACACTAGCGCCTCTATAATATACGCTCGTAATTTGAATGGTCGACAGACAACTAACAAAAAGCCAGCCGGCTGACTCCGAGCCAGCGCTCCTGAAACGGAGACCGCCTCAACCGAGCGCTCTGATTGGTCCGTGTTTTCTGTTAATAACTCGGTAACCAAGCCCCATTTCGTATTTTGCCAGAGGACATTGTTGTTCACAATGCTCCTCCTCGTCTGCCATTTTCGGCTATAACAATCTTTCCGGAACACCCTGTATGTACATTGTAGAAAGGCAAAACAAGGGAATTGCAATTAGGAAAACTCTTGAGAGACCGTTACGATAAATTTCTGGGCCCGACACTGAATTATGGCGACGTCTACGCAGTCAGCAGTGACTTCGACCGGACTAAAATGTCCCTAGAACTAGTACTCCGTGGACTCTACCCACCAGTTGGAGATAACAACAATGAAATCAATGTTGTGCCTGTTATATATTTGCCAAGAATTGTGGATGCCGTTTTCCTGCCATTATATTGCCGAAGGTCAGCATAAACTGTGTTAATGATGTGTGTAATAGCATGTATGATAACGAATGATAATTTGAACGATGGATTGACTATCACGTGTGTTTATCATAAATGTTACAGGTATGCAGTGGAATTGATAAAATTGAAACAGTCGCCTGGCGTGAATAAATTTATAACGACGCACAAGAACTTTTTCGATTACCTCAGCAAAAACACTGGAGTGGACATGTCTCAGGATCCCATTCTCCAAACAGTTTATCTCTACCATCTTTTAACCAGCCAGGTTAACAATTGCATCATTGTATCATTGTTTCATTATACCATTGTGTCAGTGTACCATTAGGTTATTGCGTTATCGTGTTACTGTGTCGTCGTAACCATGGACTTAAAGGACGGAGCATGAGGTAGGGTTTTAGACGAGGGAGGGCGTGATTCAAAAGGCTAAGAGGGGAACATGGAGGGGAACAAATTGCTGGTCACACTGTAGCGCCATCTATAACATTCCGCGGACTATTTTGAATCTGTTGCACAGCTCTACGCATGCCCATTGTTTGCATGGTCATGTGAGCATGCGCTATCTATAATACGCTATCTATAATACCGTCTAAATTCAACTGTAGGGTGCACTGAAAATGACTGGAACTTGTAGGGTGCACCACAATATGACCAGCAATTTACTGCGTGGGGAGGGGAGCGCATGTGCCCATGGGACCCATAGGTCTGCTGCACCCCCCTTACGTATTTCGCCACGCATTATCGCGATAATGCTCCGTCCTTTAGATCCATGCCGTGTAACATTGAATCATTCGAACGTTATATCATTTAAATGTTGTATTATTGTGTTATTGTGTCATTCTATCATCGCATCATTGTATTGTACCACTGCATCGTAAACATTTGAAATTGCAGAAAAGTATGGGCATCCCCCTCCCCGATTGGGCAACAGAAGAAATTCAGGACGAAATAGAAAAAGTTGCAATCTTGGATTACGAATTACAATCGTACACGCCTCATATGAAGAGAATGTATGGCGGCCATCTTGTCAAAGAGGTGATCAACAACATGGAAGCCAATAATACTAAAAATAGAGGGAATAAAACGAAAATTTGGCTGTACAGTGGACACGACATAAACGTGGCTGCCTTTGCCAAAACTCACGGCTTATCTATACCTGTTCCTTATTACGGAGCTACCGTAATTGTTGAAAAATGGCGACTACTTTCGCAGGAGTTTGTTCAGGTAACATTAGGTTATCGATTTTGTAAAAATAATTCGATTTAAAGGAGAATTTTCGTATTTCAAAATTTGGATTTTGGATTTTGAGAATCGGTTTTAATTTTATATGTACAGCTCTGTTGTATAGAAACATTTTGAAAAAAATTAGAAATATGGCCGGCAGAATGGCGCATTCCAAAAAGGTCTAACTGGATAAGCGAGTCAAATATGCCCTTGAGCCGAATTATTTTACGCACTTTTTTATTTTTTATAACTACATTTTGCAAGGGAAAAAAAATCTGTAAAAAGTCTCAGATGTTTTCAACTACACTACAAACATGTCAGAATTTTCTCAGATTTTTCGCAAGGCGTTAAATACGGAAAAACCTCAAAAAACTGATTTTTCGAATTTTCCCGATTACTACCTCCTTGGTTGAAACATAGGGCTAAAAATTGTAGTGAATGTTTCGTTTTTGATAAGCTATCGAATGGCGCAAGCGGCGCTTCATTCGGCTGAAGGGCATATTTGACCCGCTTATTCAGCTAGGCCCTTTCACGTTGAGGANCGTCTAAAGTACAGGTTTATGCTCTATCCCTGTATTCCTATATCCATGATAATGACACAGTGCCACAGTCATACAATGACAGAGTTACAGAACAAATGAGACAATAATGCAATAGCATTGATGCTAAAAGAGTTCAGTCGAACACATAAATAATACAACGATGCAATGTTTGAAGGACACAATATGACAATGACATAATGAGTTACAGAGTTACAAAACATAACATTTATCCAAAAACCATTAAAAAAAAACGATTTCCCTCTATCATAAACATTTTTCTATTTGATCAATCCTCTACACTCGAGTATTTTTCTCTAGGTGATACAATCGTCCGCATCTCAGCCAATCGTTGTCCACGCGATCCCCACTACGACTCCAACAAGCAGCAACTCGACCACCAGCAGGAACAATAACAACAGCAGTAGCAGCAACAACGAGACAGTCAGCACCGCCAATCAGAGCCAACCTAACATCCAATCGGAAGGTCCCGGGTCAGCCGTACACGCGCAGCGTACCGCCGCGAGTTACTTCAACGCGATGCCGGCCGCCCTACAAAACTTCCTGCCACCGAACCTTTCTTACAATTTTTACAACATCTCAAACGTTACATATAGAGATTAGAAGATTCGACGTATAATTAATTAAATAGGATTTGTTAATTTATATGATTAAGTGTATTATATTGCTTTTATTTGATATTAAATAATGAGTGTATTTAACAATCGTTTATTTTTTATTAAAAATTTGAACAGTTTTATTTCGTAACCTAATCTGAAATTTTCAATCGACCTCTTAAATTGTAGAACTGCAATTTTCTGAATTTTTCCGATTTTATTTTGCATTCAAAAAATTTGAAGATTCTTTCAATTATTGAAAACTTGTCTTAAATTTGTTAACACCACAGCTTTTATTATAGATGAAGAATTTTTATAAATTGTGTTAACACCACAGTTTTTACACAATTTATAAAAATTCTTCATCTATAATAAAAGCTGTGGTGTTAACAAATTTAAGACAAGTTTTCAATAATTGAAAGAATCTTCAAATTTTTTGAATGCAAAATAAAATCGGAAAAATTCAGAAAATTGCAGTTCTACAATTTAAGAGGTCGATTGAAAATTTCAGATTAGGTTACGAAATAAAACTGTTCAAATTTTTAATAAAAAATAAACGATTGTTAAATACACTCATTATTTAATATCAAATAAAAGCAATATAATACACTTAATCATATAAATTAACAAATCCTATTTAATTAATTATACGTCGAATCTTCTAATCTCTATATGTAACGTTTGAGATGTTGTAAAAATTGTAAGAAAGGTTCGGTGGCAGGAAGTTTTGTAGGGCGGCCGGCATCGCGTTGAAGTAACTCGCGGCGGTACGCTGCGCGTGTACGGCTGACCCGGGACCTTCCGATTGGATGTTAGGTTGGCTCTGATTGGCGGTGCTGACTGTCTCGTTGTTGCTGCTACTGCTGTTGTTATTGTTCCTGCTGGTGGTCGAGTTGCTGCTTGTTGGAGTCGTAGTGGGGATCGCGTGGACAACGATTGGCTGAGATGCGGACGATTGTATCACCTAGAGAAAAATACTCGAGTGTAGAGGATTGATCAAATAGAAAAATGTTTATGATAGAGGGAAATCGTTTTTTTTTAATGGTTTTTGGATAAATGTTATGTTTTGTAACTCTGTAACTCATTATGTCATTGTCATATTGTGTCCTTCAAACATTGCATCGTTGTATTATTTATGTGTTCGACTGAACTCTTTTAGCATCAATGCTATTGCATTATTGTCTCATTTGTTCTGTAACTCTGTCATTGTATGACTGTGGCACTGTGTCATTATCATGGATATAGGAATACAGGGATAGAGCATAAACCTGTACTTTAGACGAGGGGAGTGAAGCCATCTCCGCAGTAAAGGGAGGTACAGTCACGCGGTTTGTGGAACGCATTCATGATTCATTGTAACATAAAAGCGCGAAAGTTCAAAACTGCACATTGAACTTTATTACTTGTATTACTATATAATTACTATAATTAACTAATAAATATATATAAAAAAAAATATAATTAATATGCATATATTAATATTTTATTTACTTAAACATGGAATCCACGTTTGATTCCACTGCCGCCAATGCTCAACAGTATCAGCAATGTTAAAAAATGTATAAAATATTTATATACAAGTTTATGGACATATGTTTTTAAATAAAATGAAATTATTAACTAATAAAATATTGTGTATATACAGGATGTCCCAGGACTAGTGGTACATATTTTAATGGGAGGTTCCTGAGGTGATTTTGAACAACTTTTTCCTTTGTGAAAAAGTTGTCTGAGGCGTGGTTATTGAGTTATTAACAAAAATCCCCGACCAATCAGAGCGAGTATACACGGCGGGCAGGAGCGCGGCTACCGCCTCGTGCGATGCCGCGCTCGTGACGACAAAGAAAAGTTGCATGCAAAAACGAACTCATAAATTGGTTAAATATCAGAGGAATGAAAGCGATTAATCGTTACTTACGTTCACTGAACAAATGTAACTATAAATATTCAATGAAGTAACTAACGATGTTACAAATTACAGGGTAGATAAAATTATGA